CCTTCCCTTCCCTTCCCTTCCCTTCCCTTCCCTTCCCTTCCCTTCCCTTGGAAGGAGAGATGGACAGAGATGAAAACACCATTCTCAGTCAGCTCCACATACTGTCCCTGACCTTGGGGTAGTCCCAAATTTTCCTCATATAGTTCAGGTATCAATTTCTAGCCATGGTAGGTTACCATAGATCAAACTCTGATTGTATTCCTCTTTAATTACAGAATATATTTTGTCTAATACTGGGAAGTGAGAAGAAAATGTTTCTGAGAAAATCCCTGGTTTATTTAAGAAAGTAAAATGAAGACGTCTAGAGATTAAGAAAGTTTGAGGTGATTGGAATAAGGTTGAATTGTTTTACACAGTCCACACTGGTTGCAAAAAATAGATATGAGACTACAATATGTTCTTGCAGCTGAGAAAGCAAATCACATCCTGGGCTGCATCTAAAGAAGTGTGGCCAGACAGCTGATTTGCTCTCTCTCCTGGCCTGAAGAAGCAAAAAAATAAGAATCAAATATCTTCTAGCCTTTGAGAAAATTGTTCAAAATAAGTCAAGATATGTAAATAAATGTGTTTCATAATGATTTACAGATTTGGTTGACATTTATGAGGTGCTTCAACTACCCAGTGAAGGATAATACGATCAAACTTACTGCTGTGTGGTTCACCCTGTCTTTTGGGTAAGAGTGTTTAAGATTAAACCATTTTCTATAGTCTTGACAGACAGAAAAATCACCTGCATGTTAGTTTCTGACACTATGATCATCTGTTTTATTCAGGATCTTTCCACAAAATGTTATATTTGTCATTTAACCTGTTCTTGTTTGCAAACTTGACTCATCAGGAATACCTTCTTTGGAAAACTGACATCTTCTGCTGTCAGCATCTTTCAGTAATTTTATATTATGAAGGAATTTATTCTGATGGAGCAACCACTCCATCACCTAAGTGATCACCAAGGGGACTGCTCATTCATACCTTGAACAGATTTCTGAATGAGTGAGATTGGTGCCTGAAGTTTTTCTGGTTTTTTACAGCTACTACGGTTTATCTGTCTGGTTTCCTGATGTCATTAAACATCTGCAGTCAGACGAGTATGCATCCCGAGTGAAACATTTCCGCAACGAGGAGGTCTCACATTTTGTCTTCAACTTCACACTGGAAAATCAAATTCACAGCAATGGAGAATACATCAATGACAGGTTTGGAGGTTTCCTAATATCTTAGCTTAGTTGGAATAAACATGATGCATGTTTTAAAGCTCATCCTAATAACTCAGTTTTTTCCATGAGGTAATGATAGATGGTTTTGTTACCTTATAGTGAATATTTATTTCTGTTCTTAATTCCATATGACTCATGAGCATGGGAAAAAATGTACATGCCCTGGTGGTTCCTGTGCAAGGATCTACCTTGCAAACCCAGCTTCCTTGTCGTCCTGCAAAACAGACCAAAAAATCTTGCGTCAATTTTACTTCCTTTCACAGTGGGATTCAAAGGTTTGCAGATCCAACATATGCAGTGTATTGTAGGGGGCTGGGAAAAGATATACTTTCATCTCTGTTGCTGGTTCTTTTTTTTATTGATGAAAGACACTTTTGTAAAAAGGCTGAACATTGGGAGGTTAGGATCTTATCACAGAAAAATGAAAGCTAAACATTACTGTAAACCAATAAAAAACATGAACAGCTCTGAAATGGGAAACAACACTCCGACAATACATTTTGTGATTTTTTTAGCCAAAGGCAAATAAATTAAAGCTATATCTGTACTTCACTAATAACTAGATAACTTAGGGAAAATTAAACACAGATGGTTTAAGTATCTGGTTTCTATTAAGAAATGTACAGAACAACCATGTGAACGGTCTGCTGGAAGTCATGATAATAAGTAATTATTATTTCCATAGGAAAATCTATAAGTAAGTGAATAAAATTGATTATTTTATGATGATTTAATAGTAGTAGTGCTTGAGTTTTGACATAGTTAAAGGTTTATACATTGAAGAAATAAATACAGTTATTTAGGTTTTAACCTAGCCATAGCTTCCATATCCCACTCCTTTCCAGAATGCAGATATTCTAAAATTGAAGAACTGTCAGTAACTGTGTCAATTTAAACCAAATATTCTTCTAAAATGCTAAATCTAACATTAAGTTATGCTAGATCAGTAACTTACTCTTTCAAATGCACAAATTTAACATGCCTCTGACAGTTATATGGGGTTCACAAAATATTTTCCAAGAGGTATGAACCCATTAGATATCCTTCCTTCATAAATGTTTCAGTACCCCACTCACCCTCAATCACAGTGTTTCTTTCATTTTCTTTCTTAATGAGAAGATCCATCAATACTTGATTTTTTAATACATTGCTTTCCTGTTGGGTTTTAATTCAAATCATTGTGACACCGATTTTAATGTAGTCACATGCTTCCTGTCCAAAGGTAAAAAGTGCATCTGAAGAACGTAGAATATGTAGTCTGTCATTTCTGTTTCAACTGACTAATCTAATCACTATATTTTCTTTGTTCTCCTCTGGAATTACTCTGCATTTTAAAATGGAAAGTACTGTATGAAAAATGATAATGAGTAATTCCAGCCCGATTTTAATCAGTCTGTCACAAATGAGAAATGATATAGTAACTAAAACTAATGGACTGAAAACACTATTTTTCTGACCAATACAAAAAGAGAATTCATTAGTTAGTAAGTCACTTGCTGTGATAAATACTATTAGCTTTTTCTCTCCTTTCTCATAAAGATGTGGTTCCAACAAATTTATTCATGAGAGAGTTTAATTCCTGCTCCTTTGTAGATAGCGTATTTTTTGTGTTCCTATTCCTATTATTACCCTTCTTACAGAAAAATACTTAGCTAGTGACACCAGGTTTGATTAGAATACAGCTAGGTCTGTGTTTGGAAGAACAAACTGCCCTTTTTTTCCCACACCTTCATGTGAAATGTAAGAAATCACAAAAATAATTATGGATTTCTACACCTTTGTTGTGGTTGCTGTTGCTAGCATAATCACGTTATTTGGTAGAATTTTACTAACAAAACTATGACTCAAAAAGCATTGCTTTTGTCCAGTGACATTGGGGTGAAAAGTTGCTGTATGTAATATAATTTGTCTGTGACATTTTCCATTAATATTTTGATAAAATCTAGGTGTTAAATGGGATTCAGTAGGAAGGAGGATGTTCAGAAATGAAAATAGCTACCAGCAAATTGTTTATGCCAATTTTATTTACATAGTAATTATAATTGCAATTGCATCCATAGGAACAGGATTAATGAGATACAGTTAAATGTCTAGCAGAGTAATTGGCAATGTAATTTTTAATTCATGTAATAACCATTTTGTGAAAACAATTTTAATACTGGTATGTTATGCATTTGAGTCTAACCCAGTAACCAGTGTGTTTCTCTGAAAAATCAAAATTCTTTTAAAAATTCATTCTTTTCAGGTTGTTGGTATTAGCAAGTGCTTATTTATTACCAGGGACTGAATTTCTGAAGCATAATCTCTCTGTTTCCATGTGTAATGTCAAATTACTAGCAGTTTTGATTTTACAAGGCTGTCTCATGAATGTCATGACATTGGTTTTGACTGATGATTAAGGACAAGTAACAACAGAAATATTATCAAATAGATTATATTACTAGTTTGGGCCAGTAACTATGTGGAACTATTTGTCTTACTAATTCTTCTTCTGAACAATCGTATTCCAGAATGAGTTAATCATTAATCACATCTGCAAAATGCATCAAAGGAATCATTGTTACTGAGGATGAGATTTTTTAGATCTAAATAGCTGTGTCTGTTGCTATTCCAAAACTATGAAGGTAGACTTACAGCAATTCTTTGTATCGGGCAGGTTTATTATGATGAAGTTTAAATCAGTAACCTTTGAAGATTCACTCTTTAAGAACTGTGTTTTTGAAGACATTACTTCACTGAACACATACTTCAGGAACTGCACTTTTGTGAATACCACCTTCTACAACACAGGTTTGAGAAAGCCTCAAATGCCCATTGGTCAGCTGCATGTTTTCATCTTACATTTATGATTTCTGGATTTCTAATAAGACATACAAGAAATCCTCCTCTAAGGAATAATAATATAGAGAAAGCAACTGTCTTGTTACAAGAGAGAAGTGAAAGGATCTCACTGCACAAGAGATGCTGCAGGCCTAATATTGACTGAGATAAAAAATGATTTATTTTATTCATATAAGAAATTATTTATTTTTTATTTTTTACTTCAACCCTATCTAAAGAGATTCAGTCTGGAGAGAAGAAAACGCATTAATTTTTTTACTGGTAGCTTTAACTACTGTATTTTTACTTAGTCCAAAAGGGACTGGTGAAATACTTTGTTCACTGTGCTTGCTGTGGCAGGGGTATCTGAGTTTAGGATTCAAATTACCTAGTCTATAATCGCTCCCAATCTACATATTGGGAGCAAAAACATTAATCCATATTTTCATATGTTTAAACTCGCTTCTTCTCCAGTTTAACAAAACATAACTGAAAGTAGAACATGGCCAACTAAGCTTATTGGAAAGATGAAGCACTTCTTCCCACTTCCTGTAGCTAATAAAAGTAGTTGACCTAGGTTTCCACCCTTATGTGGAACAAAGGTATTCTTGGTTCAGGTTTATAGGGCTGACAAGAGGAATGAAAAAAAAAAAAAGAAATAGAGGGACAGATCTCTGGAATGGTATTGGTATAGGAATTAACTACATAGAGTAATTAATCCATGGACAAGCTGAAGATCATGAGGCCTTCTCAGAAACAAAAATCAGTTTAAACTGAATTCCACAGGAATATTTCACTTAAAGGAAGTCAAATCAAACTGAGCACAATTGACAGTCACTTCAGGAAATAGAAGGCCTGGTACTGAGAAAGAATGAGTCATAGGAACTTGTGGACACCTAGTGCATTTTATGTAAGAGCAGCTGGTGCTGAAAGGTCTTAACCAAAAACAGTCCAATCAAGGTAAAATACAGTAATATAATTTCCTAATTCCAGGCTTTAGTTGGTCCTTTTCAAGAGCTTTGCAAATTTTTCTAGTAAGATAAAAAACTATCAAAATTAAGAGCAGTAACTAGTCACCTTTTCCCAAAGCTATGAAAGCTCCAAGTTGTCATTAAAGTTGCTTGGACTGGAAATGTTTTTAATCAAAAGTTGCACATGGAGTCGGCTGTTATCTGAAATTATTCTTTTTCTTCTTTCCACAGATCTCGAGCAGTATAAATTTGTTGACAGTGAATTGATAAATTGCACATTTTTTCACGTCAGGACAGGATGCCAGATTTCTTTTGATGATGACTACAGTGCCTACTGGATCTACTTTGTTAATTTCCTGGGAACTTTGGCAGTGTTACCAGGAAATATTGTGTCGGCTCTCCTGATGGATAGAATAGGACGGCTAACGATGCTAGGTAGGGGCTTCACTTTGATACAGGGAACGTCAAAAGTAACATGTCCTCTTTCCAAGGAATTTGGCTCAGAGAAAGGAAAAACAATCTTTCTGCAGATATGTCATTTATGTGGCCTCATAAATACTGTTTGTAAAAGCTCCCAGTTTGGAAACTCTAGGGAAAAAAGGAATCTGTAGCCACATCTACTTGCACTTCCACATAGATATTACAAGACCATAACCTCGGCATTTAGATTGAGATTTTGGAGACGGGTGACAATTGGTTCATCTCTGCTCCACCTGAGAGAAAACAAGGTGTGCACAGGTGACCCTCAGCTAGTAGAGCACTCCTGAAAAATGTCAGCTGTTATCTATTTTGCATAGGAACACAGATGAAAGGTATCTCCTGTTGATTGTCTACAATGAGAAATCTGTTTTCAATTAACTTAAATAACTATGTGGTAGTTCATGATGTTAATTTTCTAGGATAATATCTCTATTAAATACAATAAAATGAATACAGTGTTTTTATTATAATATATCAATAGGTTTCATGTAATTGCAAAAGATGATGAACAAAGAATAACAGGGGTAGTTTTTCTCAGGAATCTTGCTCTGGGAATTCAAAGAGCCTTCCAGCTTAATACTTTGTGATATGTCGGATATGTGAGGAGCCATATTCTTTTTCTGTGACCTCCTTTCTTCAACATTTGTCTTTCTGTCTGGCCTTACCAGTAGAGGAGGTCACTTTGGTTTTTAACTCAAATATTTGGGTCACTTAATTAGCTACACTGTGTGCATAGAAATATTAGACGAAACAAAGGTTATTCTTTAAATGTAAGTCCACTACATGTTTGTTTCACCTGCCTTGTACCTAGGTGGTTCCATGGTTCTTTCTGGCATCAGCTGTTTTTTCCTGTGGTTTGGAACCAGTGAATCGATGATGATAGGTATGCTGTGCCTCTACAACGGCCTCACCATCTCAGCATGGAACTCCCTAGATGTCATTACTGTGGAGCTGTATCCTACAGATAGAAGGTATGCACACATACACCTCTCCTAACCTTACTGATACTATGTACCAGCAGAAATGGCTAATAGAAATAATTTTTATGAGCCTTACAGAGGTAGACATGTTTTGAGAGGACCAAAAGAATAATTTGTCTTATGAAAAGCAAAGGGAAACAAGGAGGGGTTTTGAGCAATTTAGTATGTATTTTGCATCAAATATCACCTTATCAGGAAAATACCATAAAATGTCATTTCATTTGAAAACAGGTCTAACAGCTACACTCATTTAAAACATAGCTAATGAGTAGCATTTCTGATAACAATAATGGAGTATCTTTGAATTTCCTGTAGTTTAACTGTATATGAAGGCAGTAGTTGATCCAAACCAGCAGTACAGCTGCATTTGTCTGTTGACTGTGAAATGGTGGGAATCATGATAAAAATCACTCTCTGAACCACCCTGAGCTGCTAATCAGTCTGCCATAATTTGTATGTAAGGCCACTAGGAGTGTACCTTAAGTGGGTAAAAATTATCTTGGACACTGCTCTTGACTCTTCAGGGCTCTTGCAGGAAATCTCAGGACAATTCTCAAATACTGCATTACCACTAGGTGACATGGGTTGGGTTTTTTTCAGATGAAGGGCACTTTTTAATCCTGACCTTACGTCACTTAATGGACTGAAGGAAGAACTGTTGAGTCATATTCTGTGGTATGGGGAGTGCAAAAATGTAAAAGCTGCACTACTTTGAATAACCTCAAATACTTCTTCCCCCATCAAATCCCTAAAAAAAGTATGTAAAATTGCCCAGATTCCTAACAAAGGGCATTGTGTCCTTTCTCCTGTTGCAGTGCTAATTACTATGTCATTCACTGGATGTTTGAAATGCAGTTAAAAATATTTTCAGGTTATGAATGCATGATGCCTTGCTGGCAAGTGTAGCTTTGGGAAGGAATTCCACTGCCTTCAGTGTTGTCCATGAAAAGATATATAAAAGTGTAGACTGGCTTCTCTGTTTTCATTCCATTGTAATTTTAAAACTATGTGTTTCTTCAAACAAGAAATTGATGTCCACATCTGTAATTATATCGAATCATGATATCAAGCTACATATGAATCCCAAACACCAAGCTTTAATATTAAGTGCTAGTATTTTTATTATGCCTCAGGAAATTGCTCTTCTGGCAAGAATTCTTCCACCATCCAAATGCTATGATGTAATTCTAATAAATATCCTGTAGAAATTACCATCTTTTGGGCATTCTCTGATAATTTTTTTATCCAGACTAGCTGCAGTTTAACCACCAGCATTGCTCACCTCTGATAGTCCAGTGTTTCCTCCTCAGACTCCTGTGGTCTCCATAACCAGGCACAGCTTGCCACAGTTTGCTGGGAATTTCCAGCTTCTGCTAGTAACTATAGGGCTGAACAACCTTTCTCAGCATATGTGGAACACGAAGCTTCCTGATTTTTTTGCATATGAGATCCTTCATACTTAAGATGATACTCTCTTCTGCTACAAAGCTGCATCCAGAGTGAATCTGGTCCTGAAACTGGCTTCCAGATTCTCCTGCAGACGGAATCTAAGCACAAAATCCCTGCTCACTCTGTCGGTATTTAATACTATTTTCTTACAGCCTATCAGTGAAATAACCACAAATGTGCAGCAAAGGGTAGCTGGAGGTTGGGCTCAAAAAGAGGTGGGTGGAAGGAGGCTGGCGCATGCTACCATGCACAGGAGGCTGGACTGGGCAGCCCCTCCCTGTCCTCCCCCTGGAGACCAGCCAGGCACTGAACTGCAGGGGCTTTGCTGGTGTTGTGCAGTGTAATATGAAAGGTGTTTCATAAATCGTACTCCAGGAATTTAGGGATCATACTGGCTTTTTGCCAGTAGGAGTGTGGTGAACTGTTTGGCAATGTGCAGTCTGTGTGATACAGGGCACACGTTTCAGTTTATTCTTCATCAGTTATGGTTGCTTCAAAATCTTGATAGATTTGGATTCTGTATGAATTCACATTCATCTACACATCTACATTTCAGTTTACTGATTCCTGGAATTGAGGTAACTACATAGTTTTTCCTATTTTCTCAATGAGTACTTCCATATTTTTGTCCTATTTTAGGTTAGCGTTTGTTTTCATGCTCTTCGTAAAACCTCAGCTGGTTTGTACAATTGCTGTAATAGATATCAGAGGATGTATAGATTTCATATGGTTCTCACGTAGATTATGGTGTTAAAATGGAAAATAACATTACTAATGCTGGTCATTAGTGGGTTTCTGTCTTCTAGATGATACATATGAAGTAATGAATAATATTTTCATTATATAGTACCATTTTTTTCTCAATACACAAATTTTAGAAGACACTCATGATAGCTACATATAAACTAGTGATTTCCAGTAAGCAAGTAAACTAATACAACTCAGGAATGTAAATAACTTATGTTTTCTCTTGTCTTTTCTATTGTCTTTTACTTTATCTTCTCAATGGACACTGCTATCCATCACGAGAGAAAATCTGTAGGCTAGTGTGTGACACCAAAAATTCCAGTGACTGAGCATTATAGAAGAAGGAATGGGCTGAAAGTGTAACTTCAATACAGCTATAGGTGCCTAGCACTCCAGCAACATAAACTTGAAGATGCTAAGCTGAGCATCTAGAAAATAAGAAATGCATGCTTAAAGACCATTCTGTTAGCTTTATGTGACTTGCTTGCATCATATGCAAATTCTGCGACAGGAGTAGGGATTTTATCCTTTTCTGTGACAGCAGTCCACTGTCTTAACCATGAAACCGTTTTCTCATGTTGCAGTCCCCAATCTATTCACAGTGCATCTTCCAACTTTTGTAGTAGATGAGGGAAACTAAGTTTTCTTTGCTACGTCTGTATTTTACCCTCAAGCACTCTCTGTTCTCTGCATTGGCAGAGTGATGTGGAAAAAAAATATTGTGTGATGAGGTAATTACGGCTTGTGTTGTAATGTGTGTGCCCAAGGGGCCTGCAATAACTCTGCACAGTTCCTCAGCTCTGCCTGTAATATAAATATGGATGGAAGAAAGCTTAAGTTCTCCTAAGGAGGAACATTAGGACATTTTTATTACTTTAAAATGCAATTTTTACTTTCACATAAATGGTAAGTATCTTCTTGTGAACTTGGGAAGCATCAGCATTATAAGCCAAGATTCTCATCAGGGAGATGGTGCAACAAATAACTAAAACCTAAATAGAAAATGGAATAGAAATAGATCATCTCCCACACAGAGAATAAATCAGACTGCATCAGATAACCAACAATTCATCATTTTATTATGACTACCATAGATCTGGGTTTGAATCTTGTCCAGGAATACTTGGAATTCAAGATGAAAAAAAAATTTAGTCATCCTAAAAAAATTAAGTCATCCTGTTTTACCTTTTTTTAATGCCTCTCAAAAAAGTTCTTAAGGGTTTGGCCATAATTAAGAAATAAGTCTCCCATCTTTAGTTCATGATATTTAATTGTTTCACTTTTTCTTGAACCCTAAGGGTTCAATCTATGCCCAGAGCAAGAAATATTATTCTCACAGTATCTTTTGTCCAAGTTTGTATTGATGTGGATGTCAGAAGAGAAACTTTCTATTCTTTTGAGTCATAATAGCAGTAATTGACTTACAGTAGATTTCCTGACAGCTATTTTCTACTCTCATCCTGTGGATACAATCCAACTACATTTTGCTGAAATGTTAAAATTTTTAAGGCATGACCTGCCACACCTATGCTTTTTGCAGTAATCCGAGGAAGGAAGGCAAATTCCACAGTTCTATTTGTACACTATGCACTATAATTGATCAAGCCATGATATATATTTCTGTAATATTTTTTTAAGAGAATATAAAATATCTGGACATCAGAAATTTGTCCCTAGAACATTTGGAAACTCTTTTAATGCTTTACATATTATCAATTCTAACAAAATTTTAACAAAATTTTACAAAAAAAAATGTAACAAATTTTTTTTTGTAAATAGCTCCAGCAAGAAAGATAACAAATATTTGTGCTATACATTTAGTAGCACTCTGTCACAGGACAATGAAGTTTTTAGATATTTTATCAGCAGTGGAGAAGTGGATCTGAAGTATTTTATGTGGGAATACAAGCACCTGGTCTAAGAAGGAACATATGTGGCAATCAGGAAACAAGCTCTTTTAATCTAAAGGCTTGGATAATCCCTCTATTTTTAACTATTTGGACTCTTGCCATTTTTATGTGGACCTTGGATGAAAGGAAGCTAAGCATTTTTCTTTGTCACGGCTTTCTCAGCAGTAGAAGTAAAGTATGTAGAGGAAAATTCCTTTTCAGTAATATCCAGCTTTCTCTTCATTCTGACATTTTTATAAAAGACATAAGTATTTTTCTCCAATCAATACTAAAATCTGTATCTGAGGTTTTTTTAAAGGCAATCCCAAATTGATTAACCAGCATTTTCTTACTGATGTGCCTGAAAGACTTAAGTGAACTCTTTAGCTGGACAAAGGATTCTTGCTACTTACAACTGATCTCCCTTGACCAGTAATGAGGATTACTCATGAAGTCAACATCACATTTTTCGTGCAAATGTTTGTCTAATAATTGATCGACACAAAGAAAATGGGTGTATATATAAATGGCCTAATTACCTTGGAGTTTTTCACCTAATTTTTTCATGATGCTAAAATGATACATCACATAACTTCGATCACTTGCTGACACTCTTGCTCTCAAACACTGTAGTAGAGACAGTATGAATACTGCAAAAGACTGTAGTCATATACATGTGTGATTTGCAACATATTTATTTTCTGGCTATTTTTGTTTTCATAGATTAAGGAGAATTCATTATAAAAGCATGAATTAATACAGATTTTGAAGGCTTTGAATCACAAACACTGTTCTAAGAAGGATACTTATAAAAAAAAAGCAGTCTGAATTTGCTATCCCTTAAGCTCCACAATGGTTTGAACACCTTGTTCTAACTATAAGTATGAACACATTCAAACACAGCATTAAAATTGAAGGGTAAGAAGGTATAAGATTAAACAGTGACAATGCTTTTCAGGTACAGGTCGTAACAACAATTTACTTAAGCCTGTTAAAATCTTATTGTTCATGCCAATTATGTGATTATTTTAGGCAAAAGGACATGCCTGAAATCTGCTTAAAGATTAAAAGATTGAACTTCTTCTGGGTTGTTCATTTTTTAATTATCAGGATGGCTAAGGGCAATAAAATGAGCTTACTTTTTCTTACTTTTATTTGTTTATAATTTGATAACACTAATGGGATTAGACTTATAAAAATCCCTTACAATCAGCAAAATTCTGTAAGTCCATTTTACAAATAGAACTTTCTTTTCAGTGCAAAAAAAATTATCTTTATTTTATTGAGACAGAAGAGATGTTGCATGTATTACAAAATTGCTTTAAAACTCAATAAAGTAATGTTTGGTATATAATCAATAATAGATCTGAAGAACAGTGGCATCTGTAGAGACCAGACCATGAAAAGAAATGGTTCAAATTGCTCAGAAAATTGTATTCAGACCACTGTCATAAGTAGTTGATACAAGCAGCTAACATCTGTGAAACAGCTTACCTTTATAAGGTAGTATAAAACAACACTAAACATAAGTAAAACATCCCCATATGTTTTGTGCTATTGGTTTTCCAAAGATTTCCTGCCTGTATCTATCCAAATTTGTTTTAGCTGGATCTATGTATTCTTTGGGGAGTTCTGGTACCTCTTAATATACTGAGGCTGTTGATGACTAGGTGTCTAGTTTCTCCATGGGTTTTTCTGTTACTGTTATTCAGAGTTAAGTTTGATTTTACGTCAGCATTGGCAACCAAGAAAATCATATTTATGTGCAGATGCTGATCACAGCCAGTCACCACAACTTTAGAAGTACTTTCTGTGCATAAATGAGGCTGAAGTTAGAACCATTCTGACTCTTTTCCTTTCCTTCTTCCCTGGAGTTCTCCAGAATAGCAGCCATCTCTTGTTATTCTATCACATAAAATCGGTTTTCCAGTCCAGTTGTGTTGTCTTTAACCTCTTTCTACCTGCTTGCAATACAGTCTATTTTAACAAAATCCTTTCCTTTTCAAGAAACCTCCTTCCTATTTGCATGCTTTGTGCAGCTCTTCAGAAGTGCCTTGACTGGTTGGAGATATGGATAAAGAAGAACCATTTGAAATTCAACAAAGGCAAATACAGGGTCCTGCACCTCAGGAAGAATAACCAGTACAGGCTAGGCACAGACGAGCTGGACTAAGATGACTCTGTTTGAGCTTTGAGTTTGGACCAGGTGACTGTGGCCCCTTTCGACCTTACCCACTCTGTGATTTTGTGAACCCTACAAGATCCGTCAGCTTTTTACCTCTCAGTAGCTACAGCCCATCCTGGGTTGTATTCCTTCAGATATTCTGGGCTTTATATGTCCCTGGAGCACAAATATCCTCATACTAGAGATTTGCTTGTTTTCTCATAGGCTTTGGAAGTTCACCCCAGTAGGATGGCTCTTCTCTGCTTCCATTAGTGTATCTCATGCTCCTCCTTCAGACCCATTCCTCCAAAGGTCGTGCTCAGAAGGGGCGTGATTTAACTTGCTCATTTCTCTGAGGGAGGTATTCTCAAGGAGCTGCTGCAAATGTTTCTCTGTCGGAAATGTTCAAAGGCAACACTTCCCAAAGTTTCCTCATCTGCTGCTCTCAGCAATGTGCTCTCTGGCAGCCCTCAGGGGTCTGGACTGCCGGAGGGCAGAACATGTCATTTTCAAAAGCGTTATGTCCAGGATGTGAATGTTTAGGTTTCCTTAGCACTACGTGCTTTGTAAAATTATTGCAGGTTCAATCAAATATAGACAACACAAATAAATAAGGACTCTAGACATGAAGGTCTCTTCTACCTCTTTTTTTCACAGATTTTTTTGGGTAGTTTCTACTCTGCCATAGAAATGACCTGTCTCTTTTTCTTTAGATACTGCCAATACTTAGTGTCGTGCACTGTCGGGATGGATGCCATGCTTTGCACAAAGAGGAACTGTATTTACTTCAGACAAAACAGTAATTTCTTTGCTAAATATCAAACATTTTGAAGATATTAAAGTATTCCCAAACTAATAATAAATAAGTATATAATCACATAGTATTAAAAAAAGTAATATGTGTTTTGTCCCAGATTCTGAAAAGACACATGACACACAAAGCTGACACTAGAACACTATCAACTCTTCTGAGTTTACTTTTACAACATTTTAGGTAAGGGAACTGACCTTGGACTGCAACAATGGAGAATAAATATATAATATAATGGGAAAAAAGGCTATTTGAAGGTGTATTAATTAATATGTTACATGTCTTAATTCTGTTCTGCAGACATTCTTTTAACCGATTTAAGAATTTGACAGGAAAGACACCATTATTTCAAAATGGTACATTTAGAATCTTGTTCAGATTATGGAGCTGACTTTGTGGGTTAACTAGAGTTATGTTTCTTAGAGCAAACCACAGTGTTTTAGAAATATACAAGAAGGATCTAGACCTATTCATCATTCTTTTGAACAGTATACCAGAAGGGGCATGGACTGTGCTGAAAGCCCCTATATCCTCGTCAGCTCTCCTGGACTGAAGCTCTTACCTGTCCCCTAGCATACAGCTTGGCATCATGACACCAAAAGGCCTGACTGATTTACACTATTCAGATAGAGATTTGCCAAAGAGCAGAGGAGGTGAACTCTGACACTCCGGGCTGGAGTCTGTCAGTTGCCTCAGACAGAGGATCTCTCATGCCGTGATATCATTGTTTGCTGTTTTCAAAAGCAAAAATCTGTTTTGTGAAGAGCATTGAGACACTATATCCTTGCTCTCAGCTGGGGTCAGTGTCCTTACTTCAAGCTGATTCTCTGGGCACCTCTTTAGTAGCTCGAGTAGAAGCTTTTCAAACTTCCTGGGAATTCAGTCTACATCTGAGCATAAGAGTTCTCCCTTTCCCTCACAGGTCCTTCAGTAGAATAAGTAAAACTCTTTAAAAGCTAGATGACTAGCATTTCTTGTAATTCCTGTTGTTTAGACTAGGGCTTTTAATTACAGTGCAAACAAGAAATATTTTGTTCTGAAAATTAGAACAATTGTCTTCTTGATTTTTTCTTATCCCAGCCTCATAGACCTTCTCTCTTTAACATATAAGAGAGCTGAGAAGTGCAGATTCTACCATTATACAGATATCTTTGTTAGGAAACTTTTGGTAGGGAAAGTTTATTCCTTCATCAACAAATCCCGTAGTCATGTCAAAACACAATTTCAATTATGGCAGTTTGAATAATACATCTATGCAAGAGTTACAAAATAATTAAAGTACTTCAGACTATTAAAATCACATCGCTGTCATGCAAGACTCTATCTGCATTACAGGTGTCATACTTTCTATTGGCAATCTATTTCCTTTTCCTTTTGTCCAAAGTTTCAGATATCTCTTTCACCCAACAGGTTTTCATATACCCTCTCTTCTTTACTTCTAAGAGATGAATATTCATTAATATTGGTGGTCTCATTAGCCTTTGAAAAAGCACTATTTCAACATGTGTACCACCTATAAGAAACTCCATTTTACTTCAGTACCCTAAGATGGTCATCCTTTAATTCTGATTAATAATCATCAAACAGATGACAAAGCAGTTCTTCTTCAGGAGTTACTTGACATATCCACTTTTCTAAATGTAGTCATTTAAATCTTACTGAATTTCCATTTGCAAGTTCCATGTTCAACTCTAGAGGTGCAAACTCACCTGTTTAGACTTTCCTTTCTCATTTTGATCCCTGAGGCAGAAGAATGAATTGCCACAATGAAATACTGTAGCAGCTGAGCTTTAATTTTGCATTCTAAATAAGAGCACAGAATATTAGCACAGAATCCTTATTGGCATAAATTTTAAGGTATTGGGGCTGTATGATTTTATTCACACTGAGGATGTGTCTCAAAGGCATTACTCTTTCACCTGTATTTTAAATTTCTTCTGTTTTCTCTTCTAGGGCAACAGGCTTTGGCTTTTTGAACGCACTATGCAAAGCTGCAGCTGTACTTGGAAACCTAATATTCGGTTCTCTTGTTGGTATCACCAAAGCAATCCCTATCCTCCTTGCTTCTACTGTTCTAGTATGTGGAGGTCTGGTAGGACTTCGGCTTCCTGATACAAGAACCCAGGTGTTGATGTAACAGGAAAAAACATCCACTATTTATTTCATTCTTTGTACAAATGTCAATTCTCCTGACTGATGATGCAAAGGCTTCAGATTCTCAACACACAGTAGAGTGCTCAAATGTCAGAAATCAAACTCAAAAGATATTTTGGAGTAGCAGAGATTTAGCAACCTCTGTATGAAAGTTTTAAATTTCACTTTTGTTTGCTTGCATACTTTGCTATTCAAACCCATTTCACTTCAAAGCTCAAAGCTACCTCTTAAAACAGTTTTGGTCACATATCCAGGAAGGTAAAAACGTCACCGATTAGATATTTAAAATGCAAGCAGTCAGATTATTTCAAAAACACACTCTAAATTTGACCATGGAATTGTGAGCTTTAGTAACAGACATGCAAATCAATTACTTAGCAGTATTGGTGCAGGGAATGTTGATGTATCAATGCATGCAGCATTTATCAGGCAACTCAGCTGATTGCATCAGTACTGGGAACAGTGACCTTCTGCAGCTGTGCTTAGGTGGTAAAAACTCTTGGCAATGACTATTTCTTGGGAAACATTTTTAGGCAGATTCAATCTAAGTAAAGATTACCAACTATACTCCATACTGGCTGAGGAGAAGGCAACAGTTACTGCAGGGATTTTAAAAATTGATGCAGGATTCCAGCAGAGAGAATAACAAAATTAACATTGTAACTTTTTTCTTCTGATGTTCCAGAAAAGTCTTGTTTTATTCTCACTTGTGCCATCTGGAATATTTTTTCCATTTAAAACAGTGAATTTGTCTTACTACAGGAATGAATGAATGCAGATAGACTTGTTGTTGTTAGTATGAATAATGGAAGAATCAGGCCATTGATAAAGAAGAATCTTTCAGAGGTTCAGAATTTATGTATGTAAAGACCATTATTTTTTTTCTACATGTTAATACAACCATTTTCTCAACTAATTTTTAATAGTTCCAGGAATGACTGATCACTTAATATCTTCAAATGTCTCTTTGAAAAGCCACTAAGAAATAAGCCATGGCAAGGCTGCAGGGACTGGTAATGTTTTTATTAGACCAAGTGCATAGATGGAAAGAAAATGGTATTAAATATATTCCTTCTATGCTATGGACTGTTCTGATTACTGGAAAATTCCCCATCAGTCCTAATGCTGTGCAAAAGGTTATGGGATCCCTTTAAAATATCAACATTACCAATTTAATACAGATACATTTATAAAATTATCAAAGAGGCAGATCCTCTGATGACAGAAAGTGACATTGCTTTCAGTGGAGCTAAGACAACTTGTATCAGCTGATTAACTATCTGTAGTTTCAAATGTCAAATAACAAATTTGCTATAAAACATATGGAAAATGTTATACTTTTTTTTCTAATTATGTCTGACAGCATTTATTAGGTAGATGCATCATTGCCAAGGAACTAAGCTTTTAAATAAGGTCATCTTATAGTAAGCTAGAGTTTTTTCATTGATTTTTCTGTTGTTCTTAGATATGAACTTGGATTTGGGTAGTAATATCTGGCACTGCAGTCTTTATTAGTCATCATCTTTGTCATATTAAAAGAATCAGTAAAAGTCTAATAAGATCATTCAACACGTTCAGATTTCACTGTTTCATCTACTGATTCTAGAAGTGACATTTTCAGTTACTAAGAAATGCTTCTGCTACACATTGTAGCACAAAAAATGCTAGCCCAAGATGTTATTTTCTCCTATGAAATGAGAAAATCAGCAGAATTTAAAAAGTATGAGTATGGAAAACTAGAGGGCATTATTTTGATGTTGATAATTTATATATGCTATAGCAAGAAAAAAAAGTTTATGAAGTGTGTTTATTTTGCAGTGTTAAGATGAAGATATTTGAGATGAAATATTTTATGTTTAAATCTGACTTAGACATGTCTCTTAAATTTCTAAACTATGCTAATAGATGGGGAAGAATTATTTTTCACAAAGTTCTAGAAAAAAATTCTGGCCTTAGTTTTGCATCTGTGGCTTTTGGCCACTAGTCATAGCCTTATTATTATTTTAAGGCTGTTTTCTACAATTAATATTATATTTGAGCCCTTTTTCTCTGTGCAGTTCATTAATAGCACATGTTCAACTCTTTGCACGTACTGCACAAGTTATTTTGAAATCTGAAGCCTCTGTACATATTTGGAGTCATCATAAACAACAATGGTAAAATATTGCTTTGTGTTGCTATGCACTGTCCTCTTGCAGTAGTATATAATGTCCATCTCTGCATGTAATTCCCATAATATTTAGATACAACACATTATACTTTCTGACCAGCTTGAAGGAAACGGGTCACAGGAAAATAATATTCAGCTTTTGAGGGCTATGATTCAAGTTTAACACTCTAAAATCTCATGACATGTGAAATTATGTTGATTTCAGTGTTGGTCTTATTGTAAATCCTGACTATATCATAGGTCTGTGATTAAGTCTGGGTGAAATGGAATGTAGCAATAACAGGAATTACCAGAGATTTTAAAAAATGGACACTGCATGGTCCAGAATTAAAATGTTCTTAGGCAGAAAAAGATGAACAAAGAAAAAACTCAAGAACAATTCCAACATATGAAACAAAACCTAAAGTTAGAATTTTCCTAGATGGTAAGCTAGCTGACTCAGCAAATTTAAGCTAATGTGCAAGCCAACATCAAAGTTGTTTGAATGATCAATAGTTTTTGCTTGAGTGCTGTAAAGATTTATCTCATAAAGACAAAAAAGTGAATGCAATTTCATGCTATAAATAACTTGATGAATAGGTGACATCCACAGGCTGGAACAGAAATCTATGGAGATCTGGACACAAATGTTACTCACATTATAAGCAAAAGTAATTTGACTGGTCTTCAGCAAATCTGTCTTTTCTTGCAGCCTGCAAAGCAATCACAGGTAATAAATACTGAACTGAAGGATCTGCACTTCCTTTCTATGTCTATTTGCTTATATATCACACAAAGAATCACTTAGTGGCATGGATAGATTCCTAATACACCAGAGAGAAGCAAACTTGATAGCATTTGTGTATTACAGTTACAAAATATATGTAATCAAAACTGCTTATTTGTCTGTTTTGGTCACAGAACTGACTGACTGCTAACTAGAAATCCCTGTCAGTCTAACTTGAAGTAGGATATAACATCTAGGAATTTTCTGTGCAGCTGAAAAGCTTATCCCAACAGCAGCGATGACAAAAAGCACAATGGTCCCTGAAAACACTGAAGACTCACAGTATTTAGTATGCTGTTAACCATGACAGTCAACTATTTTGAAGTTTGGAAATTGCCCACAAATGAGACCACATGTTTTCATTTTTGGCAAGGAAATTTTATTTGAATTAGTTTTACTCCTTATAGGTTGTCCAATAGTAGAACTCGATTTAGCAGACTCCAATTTCTTGAAAGCATCCTATTTATTATGTTAATATGCTTTAATCAGCTTGGTTATATCCATGCTAGCACCCTGTTGCTTGGAAGCATGAGCTACAACATTGGGCAACAATTGCATTGGTTGCTGAGTACAGGCTCTAGAAAGGAAACTAGGAATAGGTGTTCACAGTGGAGCACTGAACAACATTGGGAAAGGATGACATACTGGGAAATCTTCTTCCTCTATGCTTAATTTTAACCAGTTCCCTTAAAGAGTTGTGTACAACAAAAGTTGGGCACTGACGAAAAAAAAGTTAGCCTTCCTTCCTGATGGCCCCAGTAGTCTACTCCTCCTTTATCATTTTAGGAATATGGGTCAAAGTTAAGATTGCTAACTCAAGCTCTGCTTGCTTTCTCTTCCTGCCATTCCATTCATTCCATCCCAAATTACTTTTCTTACTAGGGGACCAGCCTTAAAGAGAGTCAACACTCCCTCACCTGCTTCTGACTTCCCAGTAACATTCAGTAAGAAGTTTTGTTACATATCTTAGCAGCCTTTCTGTGTGTGAATCTCACCTTTTGATGCAGCCAGACTCTATGTTTCCCTACCTATTGGGAAGGCTGACCTAATACAAGGAGAGGTGTCCTCTCAGAATGGCCCCTATTGACCTCCTGATTTGAGGGAATCTTCTTGTCTGTGCACCTAGCTCAGCTCCATTTGGAGAAAATTATATCCTATATTCTTTTTTTCATTTTTCTTTTATCTTTGTGAAACTCCTCTCGAGGCACAACAGTGGATACCAATTCTCAGCAAAGTAATATAGTCCTCATTCCCTCATATGGACAGCCTCTGTGTGCTCGTCTTTAGCTCTCTTCCCCATTCTGACTTTTTAGTTAATCTTCATTAGTCAGAGAAAGATGTTTACATCCAGTCGCACTTCTTTACCTAAACAAGATGATATCATGCTAATACAACCTACAAGCCATGTTTCCTGTTTAATAACCTGGAAATGCAATTGAAATTTCTTTCACAACATTAAAAAATGAATCCTTGCACTCAGGGGGTCAAAGACACAAGAAGTGAAAACAGAAATGCTCCACTTCCTCTGGTGTTTTGAAAGAAAACACATGCTCAGTAATCATATTCCAGAAGAAAACACATCTGAGAGAGTGCTTTTCTGTATTTCCTGCATTCTTGTTCATTAAAATTACTGTAAAATATTAGGTATTTGCCTGCATTAATACTTTCAAATGCTGCTAGTTGAGAAAACACAGCATGAAAATACAGACTTTTGCTTTTATTTCGAGGTAAGACACGGTTCAAGCAATGATGTGGAATTAAAAGAGACATTAGCCAGAAAATCTGGAACTCAGTTCAAAACCTGAATTAAATGGAAAGCATCAACTTATAATGCTACTTGCAGATCTCACTTACCTTCATTTAATCTCACATAGGCTACTACCAGTCCATGTGCTGCTATCAGCCATTTGCTTTCTTATAATAATTTCAAAAGTGCTGCAAAATATATTTGGATTCACTATTATTAGCTACACTTTTTTTTTTTTTTTTGGTAGAGGCAAATTTCCAATTTCTTCCTGCACGGGAAGGACCCTTCACTATTAAGTCC